TTGATCATATTCAGGATCCTATAATGTAATTCCACAAACTACAATGGAGCCTATGGGCACTCTCAACTTACCTACGGCTTCATTTTACGGCGAACCCAAAGCTTCCTTTGATGGTTATAGGGTTCAGGGTTTAGGGGTTAGGTTTGGGGCTTAGGGGTTTAGGGTTTAAGGTTTAAGATTGAATTTTCTTACTTAGAAAATATTGTGCCGTCTGCGAAGCGGACTCAAAGCTCACTAATGTAGCCCGGTCACCACGACCAACGTTTCGGCCACTCGTAGCGACAGCGTCCACTCAGGGAGCACGTGGTACCTCGGCAATGGACAGAGGCTGAGTGGTTAAAGGCTAAGGTCAAGGTCAACCCTAAACCCTAAATGTTCAAGGTCAAGGTCAACCCTAAACACTAAACCCTAAAGGTTTAAGGTTAAGGTCAACCCTCAACCCTAAACCCTAAAGGTTTAAGGCTAAGGTCAAACCCCAAGCAATAAACCCACCCTAGTTTGATGGGTTGGAGTTCAGCGTTCAGGGATTGGGATCATAAGTGGCGTTCATGAAGAGAATGGGGGTTCAGGGCTTAGGGTTATAATTATAGGGGTTATGTTCACTCCCCACTCAAGCTATTCTAAGCTTCAAATGATTCATGCGACCGGAGCGAGATCCCGAAATAAGGGATCCCATGAAATCCCTGTTTTCACCCTAAGGGTCCATGTGTCGAAATAGTATACTTTGGCCTTAATGTAGTACCTATATAATTAGGTACTTTAGGGCCAATGCATATACTATTTGGGTACATGGACGCTTAGGGTCAGGAATCCCCAACCCGCATCCAAAACCAAAGACGCCCGAACTCCACCCTTTTGCTCATCCCATCCCTGCTGTGCTGCTGCGTCTGCGCAGAAAAAGGTCGTGAGCGACGTGACGAGATTACACTATATTATACCCTAAACCCTAAACCCTACGCTATATTATACCCTAAACCCTAAACCCTCAACCCCACACTATATTATAAACCCCGACATCCTAGTCCTGAACTCCGAAGTCACAGATTCCACAAACCTGATCACTCCGGAACCTGCGCGGGCACGTCTTTCATGAGCCTTTCTCGGGTCTTCTGCAGCCCTCTTGGGGTTTGCTACAACTCCTTGCACTCCGAAGTAGCCCAAAGCAGGCAGCTTTCATAGACTTTAGGCTAAGTTCCCCTAAACCCTAAACCCTAAGTGTGTCCGCGTTGTATACTTGGGGCTTCAAGGAAGTCCGCAAAATATACTAATACAAGCGCCTCGGCAATTAGAATAGGATTTTGGGGCATGTTGCAGTTGACAAGAAATACTGGTGGTAATTCTGTAGGGTTCTGTAGTAGCGCTTTCTTCTTAGAACCGGGCAAAGTGCTTGGGTGTTGTGAGTATTTCGGGATCGCGATGCACCGACCAAGGGTTTAGGTTTCGGGTCTAGGATGCAGCGCTTGGACTTCTGGCGAACCGGGGTTTCAAGTTTACGGTTTAGGGTATTAGAGTCTGTGTGCGAACTTACATTATGAGGTCCAAGATTTATTTTAAGGATTGGGATTCTTCGCTTAGGGGTCGTTTGTAACAGCACAATGACATAGCGCGTCAGCTGTAACAAGGTGAAATCCCGAAACAACAAGGACCATGGCACTAATGGGAGCCCTAAACCCTAAACCTTAGATCCTAAATCCCTAATCCGTTGTTGGGCCCCCGGCTCGTTCAGCAGCTCTTGAGAGTGCGTGTCTGGCAAAGGCGCATATTGCAAGTGAAAACATAGCTTTTTTGAGCGCTTTTCGCGACGTCCGCGGTTGGAGGTATCTGTTGAGGGATTAGGGTTCAGGGATCTGAGGAGGTAGCACCGGCAGTGGAACATTGTTTCTTAATTACGGCTTGCGCCCTGTGGGTGTCCCATCTCCAACAATGTTCTGCGTGCGTGCATGTGTTTCTGAATGTGTCTGTGTCTTTTTGTGTGTGATGGTGCACTGTTGTCGGCCTTCGCAGAGCTCAGCTGAGGCCCCAGTCGCACGAAATGGATTGAAAACTCAGCTTTTACAAGTTTCGGGAGTTTGGGCCCTGAGGTGGTTGTTCATGGTACAGGGTTTACGAAGTTTATTCCTCTAAGATTCCGTGTACCAGGGGGTACCCAAAAAAACCTACCTTGTCACAATGAGCTCATACGACGGAGCCACATAGAGGTAACTGGGGCTTTAATAACTACAATAGGGTTTGGAGGTCTATGAAACTTTAGACTATAAGCATTAAGAGCAACCCCCAAAAGAGGATCGGGTAATTATTTCCGCGCCTAAATTATAGGGGCTTAGGAGGTGAATAAAGAAGCCTTAATATTTAGAATACGGTTTCTTACATCTAACTAGGTTCGTGAGTGTTCGCAGTCGGATCCGGAGTGTAGATGGAACTCCATTGGCAGAGCACCGGTCCTTCCCAAAACCCTAAACCCTGAACCCTAAACCCCTAAACCCTGAACCCTATAGCTTGGAGATGCGCTTGCAGGCCGTCCCTCATGTCAGGCCGCATAGACTGGAGATTTTGCTCGGTGGAGCGCTGGATGGTTGAGCTACATCCTAGGGCCAGCCTGTATCTCGACATGAGACCAGGCATACTATCCGTCCATTGAAGAGGGCCTCTAGTAAGCATGAAGCGCGAGACCTCCTCAGAAGCCTTTTACTTTTCTATCATGTCCTGTGTTCTCTCGTCCAGAATGCCTTCCGCTTGAAATGCAGCTGGATTTATGACAGGCATGTTCCATAGCTGTAATACCCCATCTCGTAGCGGTTCCCCATTCCTTTGCGGGTGAATTCTTGAAACTTCTCCCTTGCAAATGGGAGCTGATGATGCATCCTCGCCCATGAGCTCCTTTGATCAGCATTGCATTTGCCCATGATAGCCCCAAGCCCTAAACCCTATGATGCCGATGTGATCTTGCGCTGGTAGCCCGGATACAAGAGACTGGTTGCCCAACACATGGATGCAACCTCCAAGCTTCCCACGTTTCGGTGCGTTAATAATAGGGTGCCCTTTGTCCTACTATTCGGTTTTATAAGGAGACCACAAACATACAAAAAATAGGCAACAAGCTAAAACTGACACGACCTAGTCTAACAATCTGGCTATCTAGGCATTGCAAGAGAATTGTAGTATCACTGGTATTCAGTATTATGCCGACCTACAGCACGGGTTTTCTGGGAGGCAACTGCCAAGTCTTGTCACGCTGCACATGTCAAACCTAGAAACCCGAAGCCCCAGCTCTGACACCCCAAGTCCTAAAGCCTTCCATCCCTAAACTCGAAGCCCTAAAGTTGGCCCTACGGTTAAGGGTTTAGGGGTTTAGGGTTTAGGGTTTAGGGGTTAGGGGTTTAGGGTTTAGGGGTTTAGGGTTTGTGAACACTTCCACCACACTTTATGTATCCACTAAAACGTCGGATCCTAAACATGAGGACGAAGAGCCCTAATCCAAAGAAGTCACTTAGGGGAGGCTTCGGCCTTTGCAGAAGAACCACCGTATGAGCGGGTCGACTGTCAACACCTCAGCTGCAAATCGGTAAGATGGAAGCCTGAACAATTAGAATAGGGATCCTGATGGGGTTCCGAGCTTCAATGAGGGTTTGTAGTTAGGGGATTAGCAGAGGGGCTTGAACAAACTAGGAAAAGATTTTGGAGTGCTTAAGTACTTATATATATATATGTGTGTGTATATCTATACACGTAATTATTGCTAAGAAAGTTCCATCTATATATATATATATACACATGCAAACAATGCAATATATCTATATACGTACATATTCACATACATACAAACATACAAACATACAAACATACAAACATACAAACAAACAAACAAACAAACAAACATACATACATACATACATACATACATACATACATACATACATACATACATACACACACAGATACGTACCTACATGAAAACTCACATCACATGCACGTGTTTTCTGCAATTGTTACATACATGGCCGCATACACATTTACATACATATGTACATGCATGCATACATACACACACCCCCCCACACACACACGAACATGAATACATACATGTACGAACGTAATGACAAGTTGATTCATGGCAATGGGCATGTATGTTTTCATTCTCGTATACAACAATAGGCAAGTTATAAAATGTCAAATGTCAACTCTGCAAGACAAAACTTCTAGCTCTATTGCGAAGCCTTTCAGGTACAACTTGAGAACCGACAGCCCGTCGCGTCCGACATGAATCCCTGAGCAACACGCGCACGCGAGAGCGCGAGAGCGAGAGAGTGCCAAACCCTGCCAGTCGCATCGGGCCACGTTCACCCCGAAGCTGCAGCTCGGACCTTTTCGCATGGGTAGCTAGAGGTTTTCGCGGAAATGAGGCTTTCAGGCTTGGGTGTGGAGCTTGTGGGTTTCTGTGCTACGGTTGCCAGTTTGTGTCGCTGGATAACTGAAGGTCTGAAACACGTCCCCAAAGGCCCTTAGGCACCCAGAAAGATATGCTGACCTTGGTCGAAGATTCTTGTGTTGATTTTAAGGTTTCAGGGCTGATGTTGCCGGGCCAAAGACTCACAGGGTTTTGGGTTCACTGCTTACGACTTGGATGGTGATGGACTTGGGCTGAGTTAGGCAAAAGCTCCAAAGCCTAAGCCTTGTCACGTGTGCGCTGCCAGGTTCTTGCCGGGCTTGTTCGAGTGTGACTGTCAAATCCGTTTATCAGGGTAACGAAGAGATTTTTTCGTAAGGGCGCCTAGAAACTGTATCCCCGATTTGCCGAAGTCCGTTGCATCCCCCTCAAAATCGCTTAAACCGTAAATGCCTTGAAGGCCCATCAAAAGACCTTTGATAAGCCTCTTAACACGTGTACCTTGCCTTTCATGTATAGCAACCCCTCATAAAACCCTAAACCCCAAACCCCTAAACCCTAAACCCCTAAACCCCTAAACCCTAAACCCTCATAAAACCCTTCCCCCGGCCGCAAGGTTCAGTTCCCTCACTCGGGTCGATGAGGAGTTGCGCAGCAAAGCAGCCCAGGTTGATGCCGACAAGGCGCATGTCGAGGGTTAGTGTTGAGGATTTGGGGTTTAGGGGAATAAGGTAGGGGTTAAGGTGCAGGAGTCAAGGGGGTTTGGGCTAGGTTATCCGAACTTCTGGCCGTGCATGCTGACAGTATCATAACGGTCTCCTTGTTGTAGGGCAGGTTGAAGCTGGAGGACTCATACTTTGCTACGGGGAGGACCACCTCCACCGCCACGACTATTACCATCACCATCAGCACCCTCCAACCCTGTCGCCACTACCAGTACTGCCACGCATGTAACTCAACACCGACTGCCACGCCAGTCTGAAACAGGCTGCTGCTACGAGGAAGAGTGAGAAAAGCAGCGATGCGCTGCATCGACCAAGCTGCTGCCAAAGGCTTCTAAGACGAAGATGGGTTCAGGGTAACATAGGGGCCGTAATAATTACAATAGAGTTATAATAACGAATCCCCACAATAGTTTTGGTACTTATTTAGCCCCCTACATGATGTGGGTCGAAATCGGAGCGCTGAGAGGTCGGGCGTGAGTGCGGTGTGTGTGCGTGCGTGTGTGTGTGTGTGTGTGTGTGTGTGTGTGTGGTTGCGAGGCTGCGTTCGGGAATTGGCGTCTCTAAGAACCAGAACTTGGCTTTGATATAGCCCGTCCAAAAGGGGCCTTTGTCCGGACAAGGAGCTGAGAATTCCTAAACCAGCGTAAGGTTTCATCAAGGGAGACGGCAGAGAGCGACACTTCGTGGCTCTTGAGCATGCGCAATGTGATGTTTCTTCCTGTCTCGTTGTCAGAACTTTCGCCATGGACCGTGCCACCAGAGACAGGTGCAGCAAGAGCCAAGATGCGTTGTCTCCAAGGATAGTGGACACGCCCGCTTTCGACATTCTCTTCGCATTCTTGATTCTGACCAATGCGGTGTTCATAGGGCACCCCTGGCCTGTTTTGTGTTCGGAGTGAATGACGCTGCTCCAAGTGGCTGGCTGACACGCTAAGCGGCTGTGAGGTTGGGACGGTGAACCCTTGACACAAACCTGGGCTAAAACTCAGGCAGCAACATGCACCAACTATCCCAACTAGAGGCTCTGTCCTAGCTACTAAGGAGAGGCGAGTCGGTTGTCGTTGATGCCGGCCAAGGGTTAAATTTGCGAATCCGGAGACTGCAGATCCTGTGATGCAAGCAGTCGCGCCCACCGCATGCCAGGTCTGAGTTCTCCTGTTTGTTAACTTGTTGTAGTCGCGGAACGCTTCTGCTAGTGACTGCTGCTGCTACTACTGCTGCCACCTTTCTTCTGCTACTGCTACATGAATTTCAATACTGCTACCACAATCCACAATTGCGGTTGTTATTGCTTCCGCTGCGACTCCTGCTAGACGGCGCTTCCAACTCCAACGCAAATGCCGACGCCGCCACCACTACCATGCCAAGATGGCTGCTCCCTACTGCTGTTGTTGCTATACATTTATGGGTTTGCGTTTTCTATCCTACGAGCAAGCCTTTCGCACAACATGCTGTTTCTTCGGTTTTCTCTTATAACCACTGCTGCTGGTTTGGTGTCCGTGTTTTTTGTTGGTATTGGTGGCTATGACGATCGCCATGAAGTTTGATCTTCGCCAACAAATTCTCAAGCCGCCTGATGGCCGTTTCTTAATCACCAGAGCAGCGGTGAATAGACATAGCTGAAGCCAGAATCTCCATCGTCGCCACGTGAAGTTCCTCCATGCCAGGGTCGAGGTGCAGTACGGCTTGGACCATCCTCATGACGAGGACCATTGGCTCTTCCAATGGGGCAGACACCTAGCTGCAATGATCAGCACTGTAGAAGTAGAGTAGCTGCAGGACGCTGTAGGACTCCGGCAAAATAAATAGTTCCAGGCTGACAGATTTGCGAAGAGTCGAGATGGGCCCATTGGAGCTGGTTTGGCATTATTGGACTCCAGGGTTGGCTAATTTCGCCTCGTATCGGCTTGGGCTCATTTCGAGTTTAGAGTTTACTTGTGGGTGCTTTAGGGTTGTTTGCAGTTCACATTTTGCGGCGCTTTCAGGCCTCAGGATTTTCAAGAGCTTGCGGCTTGCGACTGAACCGGTTTCCGAGCAGTCTACGAATGTGTTCTTGTGTAGAGTTGGTTACCATCTCGCAGCTGCATCGAGGCTTAAGATATTCGAGGCGCGAGCTGGCCTCGAATCGATTCCTGTAGAAAGACGCGAGGTTTGCCAACAGAAACACGCTGAGTTGTGATCCACCGAGCTGACTCAACACAAACGCTTGTATGTGCATGCATTCTTTATGTATTTGCACATGTACAGCTGTAACTATGTACATAGGTACTTGGGCAGGTATGTTTACCTGTATGTAGGCATCTATATGTTCACAGATTTAGGTGTTGAGGCTGTGGCCTAACCGCTTAACGTTGGAAGTTGGAAGTTTTCGACTTAATCCGCTTTGCCCATTGAAGCAACTGACTTGTTGAAAGTACGCCGGTACTGACTGAATAAACATACCTTCCACACAGGTGATGCAACCTTGCGGCACATAGCGCTAGCATCTCCTGTGGCAGGGTCACAGAACAGGGAACGCTGTGCATGCGGGTGTTTCTTCATGTGTGTATGTGCGTATAGGTATGTATGCACGTGCGCATGCATATACGTACATATATCTGTATGTATGCATACAAATATAAACATATTGTGTATTATTTTTTTACGAGTTGTATGTATGTGCGTCTGATATGAACCTGGTTGGCTTCCTGTCTAAACAGAAACCCCTGGGCTCAAGGTAGCCTAGATGAAGCTCGAGATGAGCTTGAGTTTGAAGCGAAACCGCCCAAAACCTCGGCTGACCTGGTCGAGCGCGAGTGCTAAAACATGATGGCAATCTGATATTGACATGTGATGTACGGTTTACGATCGGCACTTATGTTACATGAATGGGGTACAGTTGTTGATATTATGTGTATATATATATGTATATACATTGTTTGTTTGTGAAAATTATTTACCCTGAAGATTCATTTGACACATACACATGTACACAGGTACATGCGTGCATGCATGCATCGAATACATATGAGGACAATACACAGAAATACAGACATACATGCATACATGCACACAAACACATATATCGCATATATAGAGGCACTTCATGTGCTGAGTGTGAGATGTGAGTTCTAGGTTCTGGGCTCTGGGAGTTCAATGTAACTCTGTGGTCTAGCTGTCATCTTCTGGGTTCCTCGCCTGACCTGGTCGAGCGCGAGTGCCAAATATTTATACATATCTATATATATGTATGCACATACAGATATACACATACATACATACACAAATGCACGCATATATCCAGACGTAGATGCAAAATATCAGGAATTGTATACATCTCCGTGTGTCGTTTCGGCATATGTGTGCCGCTGTCATGGTTTTTGTGCCACGACTTGAGATGCATTCTGGCAGCTCATGTTAACCTGGCCGCTGTTCAGCCACCTATCTTACACCTGTGCGACACGGCAACCTGCTCATCTCCAACGTCCGGCCTTACAACACCATGAAACCAGCATAACCCACCCCTACACCCCAAACCCTAAAGCCCCAAAACCCTAAAACCATCTAAACCCCCAAAACCCAAACACTAACCCTGAAGCATTTAGGAAACATCTACACCATCCTCTTCAGCTTGGAGCTCTTCATCCGCCTGGGGGCACAAGGAAAGCTCTTCCTCTGCGGCGAAGATCGGAGGCCCAAAAGTGTCGGCTACGCGCTTCTTCTATTATTATGATTATTACTACTATAATTCGTCTTATTCTCATTCTTCGGAACTTTTTGTTGTCTTAGTAGTGTTCCCAATATTTCATTCCAGTATTGTAATCATTACTCGTTTGTCGTGGTATCACGTATTCCTTCTTACTGTTACATTAACACAGCTCGCGAATGCATCGGGTCAAGGCGTTAGGGTTTTCAGGCCGGGATCCTTGAGCATCAGTTATAATAAAGGAACATATCTCTATACATAATTCTTATTATAAATATATTTTATAGAGAGAGAGAGAGATAGAGAAAGAGACAGAGTGTTCAGATCAGACCTGGATGCGGAACCTGGCGTCCCCGTTCCGGGTCCCCAACTCCCTTGTGTTGCCTGTGCGTTAACAACCCAGTTATGGTCCCTGTATCGCCATGTCATTTTATGTGCCAAAATCGTCTTTGGCTAAGGCTCAAAAAGATAAAGCCCCAAAGCTTGTTTCTGAACTCCGTCTCTTCGAGAAGAGGAGTGCAAGCAAACTTGCAAAGCCAGCCGGCCCGAAGGTCTGGCTTGAACCTGACCTTTCAACTTGCGATGTTGTTGGGCCTCCATCGTGTTCCGGGTTCGGGCCTGGTGTGGGTTTGCGGGTTTATCTGGAGATTAGGATTCAGGGCTTGGAACCCAACTTAGTGAGAGGTGGAACTGTCTCGACTCCATCATCGTGATAGCTTCCTGGTGGGAGGCCGGTCCCCGAAAAATTGATCCGTCCGGCTTGCTGGCTAGCAGCTAGTGTTCAAGACTTGATTCGAGTTTTGGTTGTTGGACGTTCAGCGGCAGATCCCCGTTTCGACGACGTTCAGGGGTTTGGGCTACTTTAGGTACGTCTTGAGCACATGTGTGCGTGACGATGACTAACCCTAACCCTCCAGGTACCTACTATATAGGGCCTTAGGGGCTCTAGTACCCTATATAGTAGGTAACTGGGGGGTTAGGGTAACCTGGACCTGAAGGGTCTCCTGCTTCGACGTCGGATGCTTGGGGATTTGGGCTTTCGAGTTCTAGACAGAAGTTAGTAGCGATGGAACGGTCTCGAAATATAAGCCTTATAGGTTTAGGGTTTGGGGTTTAGGGTTTAGGGTCGGTCCGGCCGCATGACATGCTGAGCTTACCACCAGGGCTTAGGTTCCTGAAGCACCCCTGCTCCTCTCCGCCAGCCTGCACCACCTCGGAGGCAGCCCTGGAGATCCAGCTTTGGCTAACTGAAGACGGCTCGCGCAGCATCTCGGCTATAGAAGTCCATGGATGCAGGAGATCGGCAGTGATGTCGGCTGGCGTTAGGAGAACTGGGATGATCGCATCTACATGCGATGCCAAATCTCTATCATGCCCAGGCAACTTTGCCGGGATCACCGGGATACGCACATTGCGTATCGTCCGCATCACGCGACTGGTGAAAGTGGCACGGCTGGCGCGGGTCCTCCGGTTTGTGATGGCCTTGCGCACGCTGATGCTTGTCTCAAGTCTCCCCAACAGCAGGTTTTAAGCCAGGCTACACGCAGCACAAGCAGTAGTGGACAGCATGGTAGAAGCCGAGGTGGCGCTAATCACGTGATAATTGGTACTATGACATGGCTGCAGACATCAGGGCCTTGGATCTAGAATCACTACTACGCCTTACTATGCGAATCGAACGGGCCTTTCACAGAAAAGGTAGCAGGCTGAGGCTTTTTCAAACTTGAGCAGCTCCCTTGATGACACAACCCCAACCCTTAAGGTACCTACTATTTAGGGCCCTAGGGGCTCTAGTACCCTATATAGTAGGTACCTGGGGGGGTTAGGGCAACGTTGCCAGCTCTGAGGACGCAGTCCATCATCTACACGCTGAAATCCCTGATTTGGGCCATGGTGCTGCTACTTCTCATCGTGCACCCATGATTTGACAAGGGGGGCGGGATAATTATATAGTGTTAAGTATATCTTGCGAGGCTTTGCAACAAAAGACGAAGAGCCGCGAAGACAAGCGAAACTTCGATAGTATACGAAGTGCTCGCACTGAAAAGCTCCCCGACTCTTGAGACTCCCAAAGCCGGACACATCTCAGCGAGATTTGGGGACTCGGCGAGAGAGTGCATCTGGGTCCCTGCTTGGTGCTCCTAATTTAGGGGCCTTAATAATTAGAATAGGGTTTTGGGACCCATTGTGGTATAATAGTATACTTATAGTAAGGAACCCCCCAAGGTAGTATTTGTAGTTATTTAGGCCCCCATATTATATGCTTTGGCTTCTGGAGGGTGTCGGGTTTAACAACAGACCTCAAGTCTCGCCTCAAGCTGCGGGTGGCCAGTGATCGCGTGCCTCGAAAGTAAGCTGCCCTGACGAGGCAGTACGTGTTCACATGATGGGTGCACTTAGCAGTGATGCTTCGATGCTGATGCTGTAGTAACTGGCAGCAGGTGGAGAAGGAGGCAACCCTTGCCTAGGGAGTAAATGGCCGCTGCCCAAGCCTCTCCGAAACCACCATTGCCGACATCGACATCAACTTGTTGTAGGCATTGATGCTCAGAAGGCGGGGTCGGGTCGCGACGAGGACTGCTTCTTTTCTTTCTTGAGCTTTTGCTATTGTACTGCACAGAGCTCCCGGAGAAATCCCTAAACCCTAAACCCTAAACCGTGGCCAAGGTACAGCTTCGGCATTCTCTTTACCCAAGTTGTGGCAGATATCATCTCTGAGCATGCCCAGCTCATCGAAGAGCAGGCCCTTCTTGGAGCTCATGTGCCAAGCCTCTTTGAGATCCTGCCATTGAAAACGCAAAAGCTAGAACCCGTTATAGGTCCCTAGATCCACAGCCATAGCCGGATCCCAAGGCGAACATAATTCTGAGCTTAGTGCTAGAAAGAGACAGTGCCAGAACTCCTTTTAGGGGCCACCTCTCTACCCATAGGCCCCACAGTAGTTCCTTTTTGGCGTTCATATTCTAAATATGAAGCCCAAACAGGAACTACTGTGGGGCCTATGGGTAGAGATACGACTTTAAAGAGTTGACTTTTCGGTTGGCTTTGCTTGCCCCTATCTGTCATCTCAGCCCTCCCTAACCCCCCAGGTACCTACTATTAGGGTTTAGGGGTTTAGGAGTTTAGGGTTTAGGGTTTCCTTACATACTACCGCAAAAAGCACTGTTCTTGGGCTCTTGAGGATTGAGGCAAACCCTGAACCCTATAGATCCTAAACCCTGAAATCTTGGATCGTGCGGAACACTTTGGCGCTCCGAGGTCCTTAACATAGGGGCCTTATGAATTAGATTATGTTTGGGGGGATATTCTAGCATAGTTATTTGTAAGGAGCCCCCAAAACAACCCTATTCTAAGTATATTGAAACCTCTATATGAACCCTGACATCTGAAACTTGAAGGCTGGCTTAACCGTCGAGCAGATCGAAGCCAAGTTGGAGGCGAAGAGGGTCGGCGAGCAGTACTTCGGGAGCCTCTGGATGCCAGGCAAACAAAAGTGGCCTTCCTTGAGGAAAACAGAGGATTTAGGGTGGGGAGCTGTGGAAACTCCTAGTGCAGAAGGTTTCAGGAGGGTGGGCAAAGTACGGCGCATGGTTCTAGACCATGATATAAACAGTGCCACGGTTTGGGGGCTGAGCGCAAGAATGTACGAAGCCTCGTAGCAGTTTGGGCTGAGGTTTCCATAATCCCGGGTAGCTGCAGACGCGTTTGAAATAATTTACTCCTTGGAGCCGTTGGGTTCAGATGGGCAACTTGAGACGAAGTTTTTGCTGTCTCCAGGCTCGTTTGCAGAGTTAGGTTCTTGCCTTAAGAGGGGGTGAGGGTTGCATAGGAACTGGCCGGCACCTCAGTCCTTTACAAACCCTAAACCCTAAACCCTAAACTTGCTTTCTTGGAGGCTGCTTGGCAGACCAGAAAAGGGGCGCCGAAAAAATTTGGATTTCGGGAGGGTCAGATGCGCGGAGACTTGGCCTAAGGGCCAGAGCCTTCGGCCAAGATCCCCGTGAGCCCCCGTACCCAAGACCCCGAACCGTCAACCCAAGAGCACTGCGTGTTTCTCTTTACCCTAAACCCCAAACCCTAAACCCTAACGGTTTAGAGTTTAGGGTTTAGGGTTTAGGGGAACAAAAAATGCAACAACACGACAATCCTAAACCCCTAAACTTGCCCTAAAGCTTTGGGTGGTCTGCGGTGTTAGGCGCTCCTCTTTTCCTACTGCTGTCACTATGCCTAGTCGAGACCCTACGTCCCGAAGCCTTGAAACCATGGGTAGCTATAAATGTGGTTATAAGCAGGGTAACTATACTTCTAACCTATATTAGGGGACTAACCCCAGTTATAAGTCCCTGTGAAGCTCCAAGCAAGGAAATCGATGGTAAGCCTCTACATGAGCATCGCTGGCGGGGTTAGCTGGGAGCAGGTCCTCGTTCCTTTGGAGGTCCCCTGAAAAGAACTGGGGCATGATCGGGGTTAGGGATTGACATAGCTGACATGTAGGCTTTTAGGGGTCAGTGTTTGGTTTTTGGATTTGAGGAGTGATTGTGGCTTCAAGGTTGAAGCTTATAGGGCCTAGGGTTCAGATTTGTGATGCTTCCTCCGTAACTGTAGCAGAAGAAGTTCATTCCCTTCGGATCTGTCATGCAAGACAGACAACACATGACGCTTTTATCGGTAGCTTTCTGGGCGTCCTGAATCAGCATTAAACATCTTCGTGGCCACGACCACCTGCCCATGGAATTTAGCCACCACTAAGTGAGAGCACAGTTGCTGACTGATGACCCGGCTTGGCTTGCATAGTCTTTGCCGACAAGTCTTATGAACACAAGATGTCCAGCAGCATCATGCAACCATTGCCCTGCACCCAAACGCCCTTTTAATCTCACGCCTTAGCATCCGAAGCAATCCTATGCCCGAGTTCATCATAGGCAACGAACTGAGACACACAGCCTTAACATTGACTTAACATTGCTTTTCCGGGGACGCTGCACCTGCGACCACCTGCACAGGTGATGCGAACGAGTCTGTCTTTGTTACATAAACACATGTCTACTTTCGTTTCTCTCGTATGTTTTATTCATGTACAGATGTAAACTTCTTTGATACGTATACTTATACGGTATGCGTTAAAATGCGATGTGTAATGTGTACATATATACCTACACACTATACAGATGTGTAAGAAAAGTGTGTTTTTTTGATGTGTTCGTTGTTTGGTTTGTTGCATTCATGGTCTTGGGTTGTTCGGGATCCATCTAAAGGCTTCGGATGTCTTGGGTTTCTGATCGAGCACCCAAGCACATCTGACGGTCTCAGGCGAGTGGCTGGATTTGGGTGATCATGCGACTGGGCTGCAACCGGTGAACAGAACTTCTAAGACTAAGACCTCAGACAGACAATAGCGCAGTGTTTGTATTCACCTCTGTGCTCCGTTTGGTTTGCACAAGGGCAGACTGAACGTTCTTCTTGTTGAACCGGTTTCCACAAAACTTGGTAATGCTTGTGAAGCATACATCTGCAAGACAAAGGCAACACCAGATCCGTAGTGAACATCCATGTGCGCGCGTGGGTGTGTGTGTGTGTGTGTGTGGGGCGTGCGCGCGCGTGTGTGTGTGTGTGCGCATGTGCACACACAGATGTTATTGGACATGTTTGTGCAGAGCACGGCGGTCATGTTCATTGCATGCTGCTGCAGTCATTGGCCAATCCTGGGCCTTCTGCTAAGCTCACACCTAGAGCCATCCTAAAGTATAGGGCCATAATATGTTCAAGAGGGCTTCGAGGTACAGAAAAGTACATGTGCATAGGGACGAGAAGGCTCTAATATGAACAAAAAAGGTTGTAGGCCGCGAGTTTACACCCAAATCACGAGCTTGTTCTGCCCTTGCCAGGCACGTATGCATCTTAATGCATGCAGTAGGCCGCAATGGCTGCAGAGCGGGATGCCAACAGTGAGTAGCCGAAGTATCGGATATGGATACATGTAACCCGACAAAACCGTAGGCACCGGAAAGAACAGCAGTACTTGAGCTTGCGATGTTTCGCTGTCGTGGAGTTGTTGTTAGAAGAAGATGTGGTACCACACCGCGATAGCAACAGATGGAGTCAACCAAAACACCCAGCGTCCTCAAGTTTGGGGGAGTCAGATATTTGAGAATTTCTTGATGTACTGTAAATCTGAAGTCTGCTTCTCCTGAGGTTCATCTTCTACATCGCGTTTTCGACGCTAGCAGTGCTCAATGTGGTTCCACGACCGGTCCGAAGTTTTCAGAAGGGGTGTGCGAAGCGCCCGAGAAGCGCGATCTCCTGGCACAGTGTGTGCACAACTCCAGACGGTGCGAGACTGCCGCTTCAAAGGCTTTGTGTCCCCCTCTCCTTCCCGCTCGCCACCAATCCCTCTCACGCTCTGCCTTCGTTTCGTTAATGAGTTGTATGTGTTCCTCTCTCTCTCTGTGTGTCTTGCGCTCTCTCCCTCTCTCTCTCTCTCTCTCTCTCTCTCTCTCTCAGGCTCACTTCATTCTTTGTCTCTGTCATTGTGTGTCTGTCTCAGTCTTTTGCTCTGTAGGGGTACTGACATGGGGATCACTTGGTAGTACTGTTGTTGTACTCTAGCAGATCGTACTATATAGTAGTAATAGAAGCAGTCGGAGTAGTAGTAGTAAAAGTAGGAGTAGGCGTAGGAGTAGCAGCAGTCGGAGTAGCAGTAGCAGTAGCAGTCGGAGTAGCAGTAACAGCAGCAGTAGGAGTAGCAGTAGCAGCAGAAGCAGCAGCAGCAGCAGCAGCAGCAGCAGCAGCAGCAGCAGCAGCAGCAGCAGCAGCAGCGTAGCAGCAGCAGTAGCAGTAGTAACAGCAGCAGCGGCAGTAGTAGTAGTAGTAGCAGGAGTAGTAGTAGTAGTAGTAGTAGTAGTAGTAGTAGTAGTGGTAGTAGTAGTGGTAGTAGTAGTAATAGTAGTAATAGTAGTAGCAGGAGTAGTAGTAGTAGTAGTAGTAGTAGTAGTAGTAGTAACCGTAGGAGTAGAAGTAGTTCGGAGGAGGAGGAGTAGTAGTAGTAGTAGTAGTAGTAGTTGTTGTTGCAGTTGTAGTGTTGGTACCTCTACGACCGCTGCCAACCACATTGAACAAGCTTGCGAGCTGTAACGAGACCACTAGCCTGGTTCTTCGTGTCTGCAGCAGTGTTCTGCTGCGTCACCTGGCGGCCCCGCCTCCAAACTCTTGAGCAGTTTGATGGAGCAGATGCCTTCTTCAACTTTTTCTTCTTCTGCGCGATTGTTAGCGCGATTCAGGTTACGGGCGTTTTCTGCCAAAGTGCTATAGAGTCGGCACAAAGTGATCATGCTTCTTGGCATGCATTTTCCGACAGCAATACGGTTTGTTATCAGATGCTTGACCCGGAATCTTGCCTGCTTTGAGGCAAGGTTTGCAAAGTGTCAACCCGTCAGTCTTGTTCATATGAATGAGACATATATATATATATACATATGTAGTTTTATGTGTATATATATATAGAGAGAGAGATATCCATCTATCATTATACATACACACATGTGCATATCTTAATGCATGTGTACACACCCGGTATACACCTGTGTGTACATGTTATATGTATATATATGTATGTATGCCCTCAACAATTAAAAATGACTTTCTTAGCAAAATGTGAAGCTACTCGTAATAGCCAAGCCATGCGGGAGCCAAAAGGCCTCGGGCGATTTATTGTTTACAATTAGATTGGTTTATCATCTTTAGGGTTTACGGATACCCGGAACTCTAAAATCAAACGGCCTGAAGTACATGGAGGATCATGGGACTTAGTAAATAAGGTTATAAGTCCCTTAATTAGGGTTATAGGTATAGTTACCCTAATTATAACCCTACTTACTAAGTCCCATCATCCTTTAAGTAGAAGGTCTGCAGTTAAGCACTGGCCGGGTGTGTTTCAGACCGGCTGTCCAAAAGCCGTATTTGGAAAAGAAAGCGGGGACACCAAATGAGGTAAGCCGTGACATGAACTTCCAAAAAACCTTTCAGCCCTTATATCTCAGTAGGTTGGCGGTTTCAAGTTTGGTATACAGCGGGTCTAGGCTATGAGGGTGTTTGGGATTTAGGCTTCGGGGTTGGCTGGGCCAGCGTGCACCTTCAGGAGTCTACGGATGAGGGTTCTCGGTACATCGGAGTTTGGGGTTTACGGTATCTATAGTTGAGGCGTCTTTGGGTACATGATTGAGGGAAACCAGGGTCTGAAAGGTTCACCGTGTTTACAACCTGGGGCTTACATACAGTGTCTAATCGAAAGTCTAGAGACCATCGCGATGGTTTCTATCGATCTAGGATTGAGCGTAGGATGTCCACAACGGATATGAGGACATGGTCATCCAGTCCATCCTCAACAACAAGGAAGCCCACATTGAGAAGATAAAGTGTCTTTGTGGGCATTAAATCCCATCTCCGGGCTGTTTGGAAAGGGCTTTCAGCCTTTAACACTGCGATGGTTCGCGAAAGCTCAGCTCACGATTCAGATATTTAGCCGTACATTCAGGTTTCAGAGTCAGGGCTTGCTTCCGTATGGGGACCAGGAAGTCGGGTGTCCCGGCAGCTGTTTTTTCAGAGCCTTTGCAGTCACTGTTTGTTTAGGCGTACACAAAAATCGGAAAAAGCAACACTCGCTGTCATGCTGTAATCAGGCCCGGAAGACAGCACAATCATAACGATAGCAAATATCATGTAAGGTTCGAAGTTGCAGCAGGAAGGGGGGTGAAGTCTTCAATCAAGGGTCGTGCCTAAAGCCATGCCTTTCTTCACTAGCAGCCGCCTGCTTCAAGCGCATTCGTCCCCAGCTTTGCGCAGCTGCCGAGGCTAGTCCCCAAACCCCGGCATTAGGCCCTGACATGTTGAACTCAAATGAATATTGCAAGAATCCAAGAGTTCCTACTGCACAAAAATCCAACCCCACCACAGAAGCGCCTGCAAGCTAGAAAAACCTTCTGAACCCCTGCATTTGGCCTCTGCAGAATGCGGACTTTAAGGTTGCTTTTCACGGAGATCGATGCAGCAGAGAGCGGGGTCATAACCTTCCAGATGTTCCAGGAGCAGGGTTTCGGGGTTTAGGGGTTTAGGGTTTAGGGTTTAGGGTTGCTAGACTTGAGTCCAGTAGGAAAAAAGGGTTTAGGGTTTAGGGGTTTAGGGGTTTAGGGTTTAGGGTGTCGGGTTCTGGCCACTGACATTATTCAGTCAGGTGCCTGTGTGGAAGGCTCCCCTCCGGCCACCATCCCCGTCAAGTGTTTTCATGGACTCCCCGCACGATGCAGCATGCAGCAGAAAGCAAGTTGACTGAGGCAGTGCCGCCTTCAAATCACCTGATGCCCAGAAATCGCCGCAACGGCCGAGAACCAGTGAGAGGCAGGATGATTGCACTTGTTGCGCGTCTTGTCAGGAGCGGATCATGTCTCAGGAAGCAGCTCGGTGGCAGAGTAGGTTGGCAGAGCAGGGAGAGTACCATTGAGTTTGAAGAGTTATGCACAGTTGGCAAGTGTAGCTTTTGGCGTCCGAGGCAATCGCGAAGTGGTTAGTTGCTGTCTGACGGAAATTTTGCACGAGAGAGTCAACACGTCTAGCCCAAGCCTTACTCGACATGATGCTTGCAGTATGTTTGCGAGCACTGCAGGTCCAAACATACTTCGAGTCCATTGATTTGGATGTTTGGGATGCATGGACCTTCTTCAAGCTGCTGGCCACTTCGGCACGAACATGTGTCCAAAGCAGCCAGCCTTGTGACGGGAGAGCCACAAGTTAGAAAGTAGCCGCTAACAACCATACCGTCTGTAAATATCAGGTGTGCGGACGGACAATCACACATGTTTGATCGCTACCGATATTCCTGAGTCGTGATTCCTGATGATAATGAAAAGCTTCGGTCAGAAGTCGTTGCGATTAGTCTTCGTGCTGGGGTCAGGATTAACATCCTCAGTGGGTCTGGCGGAACTAGGAACTGGTGCTGTTACTGGTCGCAACAGCAGTAGTAAACAAAGTCGTCGCCAAAACCCCTAAACCCTATAAACCCTAAACTCAATCATCCCTATCGTCGTCGTGGTGGTGGGCGTTGTCTGGCATCGTCGTCGTCCAATCCTCGCATGCTGCAGAAGCACACGACCGAGCCTCACACGTCCAACCTGCTGGAGCATGAACAGGCGTTCCTGTTTGGGACCTTATATAATAATGCTCCTACTATTTGGGGATAGTACTATATTAGGCTCCCCTCTTAATGAGGATCCTACTGTTTGGGGTTACTTTCTTACGGTACTACTTTGGGGCCCAAAGTATCTACTATATGGGTACTTAGACCCTTTGGGTTTCGGACTGGGGCTTGCACAAACCTCCCTCGTGACGCCCGAGCCCAGGACATGGATGCGGGAGGTGCCGTAGAAATCGAAGAGTTCCTGCTGGGATGCTTGCGCCTGCGGGGCAACGCAAAAGCGATGGAGACCTGGCCCAGGGATTTAGCCGTCTCCCTGAAGCTCCAAATCTCGGATCGTAGCCTGAAAGCATAGCGGAAAGGAGTTCAAGTTAGAGGGTGTACTTGGAGCTTCATGGGTAGTTATAAGTGGGGTTATAAGTCCCCCAATATGGGTTATACGTAGAGTTGCCTTACTTGTAACCCCATTTATAACTGCCCATGAACCTCCAAGTAGAGGGTGTAGTGTGGGGTCTTCTCTGGCCTCCAAAACAGTCGTCTCTCCCAGTCTGGCTTGCATCCTCAATGCGAAGCCTTTGTGTTCGGCAATCTGTAGACGGCATAAACGTCTCCGGGGTTCGAGTTTAGGATGTGTTACTGGTGTTCTTATGGTTATTAAATCATACTTATTGTCATCTGACTAATCTAATTTTTGTTAGTATACTTATTATTCTTGGCATTGAAACTGGTCGTTGACGCTCCCAAGCCAAGTCTGCACCAAAGGACATTGCCAAGCTTTGCCATGACCAGACGTGGCTGATTCGGGAGCAAGCCCGTGGCTTGACTTCACAGGTGTTTTGGGTCTTTGGGGCTGTCAAGGTGGATGCTGGAGACCATGTGGCAGCGTTTGTAATAGTGTATGCGTGTGTATATATATATATACACATATTATATATATATATATGTATACACGCACACACACATAGAAAAAACATTATATATATATATATATATATGTGTGTGTGTGTGTGTGTTTATTGATGCAGTACCAAATAGATGGACAAACACAAGAACAAGTAGGTAAATATACCGGATATAGTTACACTGCAGTAGTCTAGAACCCAATATCCAACAGTTGTAGCTCTTGCATTCCTTCTCCTGCATGAAGCGTAACCTTCACGTTATGTGGGCAGTGAACCCTGGAGCCTACGATCCTGCAATGCTGGTCTTTGCCTTGCTGAGTGGGAGGCAAAAAACCTCCTACAGATCCGAAGCCAAAAACCGCCTGCAAAGAACCCCTTGCAGCCCCCAATGGTTAATTATCCATGATGTACACAGAACCCTGCTGTAAGTATTCAGGCCTCTAACCCGCTTCAAAGCACAGGTTCTCTATGGGGGATCCAACAACGGGATGCCAACAGTAAATAACAAAGGTGACCCTACGGGCAACAAGTCGTGACACTGATATTGGCGTTACAGCTCAGCTGTGACTCAAACCCGATCGAGGTTTCTGGGAGTTCGTGGAGTCCGAGCTCTACCACATGCAAGTCCAGATGACTTCGATGGCAGGACAAAGAACTAACTCGCGCTGAATCCCAGCCGAGTAGGTCCGATAAACATATGCCAAGACAGCCAAGGGCCACCGGAAATCATCACCGCCTGACGGCCGCCATGATCACAAGTGTAATCCTCCTGCTCCTCCTCCCTCTCTTCCTCGAAAGGTGGGGCAGATTTGTGTTGTCTGAGGTAAGGTGTTGTCTCCGGTGGCTTTAGAGGCTCCTATGTACTGCTCCACGAGCTCCAAGTACTCCATGAAGCACTGGCATTGATTGAATATAGGGGCCTTATAATATTTACCTCTACTATTTGGGGGTATAGTATAGTGTGCCCCGAAACCCTACTGTAATTACTAAAGCCCCTACATTACACAAGTCTCAAGAGCTCTTGAGTTGGGAGTTGGTGTGCTCATGCTCGTGGATCGTTTCACGCCCCGGCCGTGCGCCAACAAGAGCCTGGACGGAGGCATTTCTGAGCGCAGCAGGCGAATCATCTCTTCGGTAAGTGAGTCCGAAAGACCTTTTTCAATGCCTTATAAGTGAGTACGCCCAGACGTGCCATGAAACCTTACAGCCCTGAGCCTCACAACCCGAAATCCTTTGTGAAACTACGTAAGCCTTAAAGCCATGTGACGCCCACCAGCTGCCCGTTCAAGAAGGCCGTCTCAGCCCTATGGGTTCGAACGCCCTGTAGACCGGCTTATGCAGCGGAGGCTTGTGGCATCTACGAGCGTTCTGCATAGGGTCTAAACAAAGGCATACATGCGGATTATATGCATATGCGTGTATGTATACATATATATATATATATGTACAAAGATACATACACAGATAGAGAAAGAAGGAGCTGAACATATGTGTATATATCTATTACTTATATATATACACACACACACGCACGTGCGTGCGCGAGTGGTGTGTGTGTGTGTGTGTTTGCTATGCATACAGCCGCATGCAAACATACACATACCTACGCATGCACATCTTGCTTATGTATACATATATACGCACACACACACACACACTAATATATATATATATATATGCACATCTGAGTGGATGCGCATGCATGTTTTCACATAGAGGGCATCTAGAGCATACACAAACACAAGGTTGATGTATAGACATGCGTATGTGAGTGTGCCTGTGTGTATTTATGTACGCACACACCCATCTAGAGTAAACATTCATAACACAATCACTGTGTGCCATGCCAGCCTTGTGCGAGTGTGTGAGTCGAACCAACCATAACCCTGTATTTAGAGAGATCAAGAAACAGTCGAATAAGTCAATCAGGTCTAATTGGACATATTTTGGTGATGTCATCATCATCATCATGTTCCTTTGGGTCAACTGTCACAGGATTCGGGCCTGTCACGAATGCGATCCTCGTGACGGCTGTATGGTTGCAAAGTGGGATCGGGTGTGTTTAGGACGGGATTGGCGTGACAGATGATGGTTTTGGAGCCGCCATGTGGGAGAAGTGCGCACAGTCACAGGGATTCGGCATGTTTCCGGGCGAACGGGGGGAGATCATTGGGGGGCTCGGTGAACGGAGAACCGAAATCATGTTGGTATGTATGTATGTATATATATATGCTACCCCCCCCCTCAGTTATCTACCTTTTTCGGTGGCTTTCCAGGAATACCCTGTTGAATACCTTAAGATACCTTACATATGCCATCTAGAATACCTATAGAGTACCCTATAGATAGGGATTCTAAATATGGAAAACCAGTCGGAGCTGAAGATCTGAGAAGCCCCCAGTTGA